GTTTTTCTGAATTTCGACATTATCCTTGACACAGTAGTATGTTGAATATTTTTTCCTGGATGCTGTTCATTGAAAATGTTAGCTACTTGCCGGTATGGTGTATTCTCATCACATATTGAAACTATTTCTATTCTTTCCTGAAGAGATAATATTATTGCAACAATAACTGTTAAAGATTTGACAAGTGATTCAACAACTTGACACTACCATAGCATGCATTTTGTTTGTCAAGACCTACTTAAAAATTTAATTCAACGTGATTAAGCATCCTTACCGCCCTAGTTATATTTTAATATCAATATATGGTACAAAAAGGATTTGAAGCTTTATAACTCCTATTCAATTATCTGGGAGCGCTTTCGACAGCTGGTCGTGCTATCATCATCAAGTTTGAGCAGACTCTTGATGATAGATAGAATAAAAATGCAGGTGAGGGTTAAAATGCCCTTGCTGATAAATAATGGTATGCAGGGGATTCACGCATTCGAGCTTTGCATAGGTATCTAACCTGGAGAGGCAATAGAAATTCAAAAACACAGGAATAAATTCAATAGAAAAAGAAGGTAATGAACATTAATAAAATCTGGCCACCTGTTCTTCATTGCAAACAAACAAGAACAGATAATTCTATTAGGAGAAAATCAATCCACGCCCACCAATAATAATATATAACCGGATCAAATACCAGCATCGTTGTGCCTGCGTTATGAACAACGGGAACAATAACTCAAAGCACTAACTTGGTCACTGCGACCGTTACCACGTAGGCGAAACGTCGGGCAGATCACTTGCAGACCACGGTCGAAAAACCCGCAAAATAGCTTTCACAGAATTATTCTTTGAATAATTTTTGTTTATTCGTTTATCACGTCTATATATAGAAAAATGATGTATGTAGGTTGCCATGGGCTTTGGGTGTGAAACTGTGACATGAATGTTCTGGAATTAAAAAAAGCTAGAATGATATCTGATATTCCTTCATTGTTCATCTTCGAAAAGTAGTTATATGTTACATTATGATATGTATACATCGTGGACGTGGCATTAATGTTCCGGTCTAGATTTACCGATGAGATTCATGAAAGACAGAAATAGAATTATCCTGTTACAGGTTATGAATTCAACGCTTTCGAATATGATCCTATTTTTTTTATGAACTTCAAGAAATAAATTCGAACAATGAAAAGAGTAGGCGTTTTGTGGCATAAACCCCAAGTCAACTCACCCGTAAGCGATATTTTTGACGATGAGAAACTAATTTCGTGTTTTCCGCCAGACCGTTAAATCTTTCACTCACATTTATGACCATTTCAAGTGAAATTCATTAAAATTCCGATGACGATGGCAACTTTAGGAGGCTGTCAGAAATTATAGCCCAGACAAATCGAATGCATTGTTGAAAAATAGCTTATAAAGTTTCTATAGTTGGAATACAATTCAAATCCCATACTTGAAGTTTCGGTTGTGAAAGTTTTGAGAATGAGGTAATTTGAAGTACGTGACAGAATACTTCTCAAACGAATTCAAAAGAAAATGTGGTTCATTGATCATTTGCCCAGGTAATTATGCTGTAGTGAGGAAAAGAAAAGAGGTGGAGGAGGATCATTCCCAAATATTCCGTACACTGCTTTATCCTAGAAAACAGAGTCAAACAGTTTTAAATTTCTCAATAGATCTAAGATGAACCATCAACCTTTTTTCACTGACATGTACAAGCACTGAATAAAATTGAAGGCTATCCACATTGGCAATGCACATTGTAGTCAAATCACTGTTCACAGTAGATTCCTTTGAAAATAGTATGAAAAACTAAAAAATCCATTCGTCGAATAATAAATATTTGTGCGAAGTGACAACCCGTCATTGTATGTTTATAAACCCGTCAAAAATTGAAGTTTTACGAACTGAGCGAATACTCATTGAACTATCAGTTTATACATTGTTTTACATTGGACCTTTAACACTGATATTAGGTTAGGTTAGGTCAGTTTGCCCTTTGCAAAACTTCAGCGGATTGTCTATTGATTCAGCTTCTTTTTTTTTCAGATTCTGGAAAGTTATTAACCCAAAAAAACAATATAAAATTGATAACAATATTCTTATGAGACATCTTTTAAAATAGTTCTTCTGTTTGACAAAACTATCTTGTAACAAGCCATTTTTTGAGTTGCATTTTGAAAGTAAATAACAAAGGATTTTTTTTTGAATAATTCGGTAGTCTATTGAATGCACATCAGTCATTATCAGTAGGAGAGCAGAAAAGTATTTTATTTTTACATATTGATAAATGGAAGTGATTTTGAGCACCGGTATTCACCCAATTCATATTGAAATCATTCACTAAACTACCTCTATTCTTGAAAATAGGAAGGCATAACTCAGAAATATATAAGGCTGGAAGTGTTATATTTTATATTTCTGAAAAAGCTTTTACAGCTCTCGGTACGAGGAACATTCATGATGCAAAATACCGCATACGACTCTTCACTTGCATGTAACACACTATCAGCAATTGAGAATATGTAAGTACCGTTCTCGATTTTTCCTGAGATAGCACTACGAATCTGCATACATTGTAACATGAACATTTCCGAATAGTTTTTCAATAGTATTGATACATGGCAGAAATAATACAGGACCCAAAATAGAACCCTGTGGAACACCTATGTTGATATCAGCTAATGCAGAATTCGTAACTCATTGCATTGTTCAGCCCTCAATTATACATATTGTTTGCGATTTTGTAGAAAGCTTTTATTCCATGTTAGTGCATTATCTTTCACACCCTAATGGTAAATATTATGATCAATGCAGTCGAATATTCAAGTCAAAAAAACCAGTGAAAGATCCTACTTTTCATTGAAAACTATCTAGGAAACCACTCATAGACACTTTCTATATCAAATTCACAAGAATTCATTGAAATGAATACCGAAGTGAAGACATCACAGTAAAACACAGAATTTTCTCTGTATCCACTCTTGTTCTCGTATAAAATCCTATAAAATCCTATCAAGCTTCAATCATTTATCCCTGGCATTGAAACTTGCCTCAATTTCCACTCAACAAGTAAGGTCAACACATCTCTTGGCAATAACTTCTACGATCTCTTCGGAGCAAATGGAATAAGATATGTGGTAGAATATGATCGATAACCAATCGTACGGATCCCACATATTGTCGAATTCAATGAGCTTTTATATAAAAGGATCGGTTTGTATTGCGTCTTGAGGAATGTTATTTCCTTTCTCATGTTATTCCTTTTCTGAGATCTGTATTCCTCGTCTGACAATGCATGTGGAATATTAGGATAGGATCTTTGCTGAAGAATGTTCGACTGGACAAAAGCTAACTGACAGTCTAGGAAAAATGAGCATTTCTGGTAGTTGTGGCGGTGAACAGTGATCATTTTTCTACCTTGAGATCGACTATGATCAATTTATCAGAATATATTGAACTTTTTATACATGTCCCATGTGGAAAATCTAATGTATGGAACAAAGTCGTAAACATCGTGTTAAATTATTCATAACTAAAAGAGGTGTGGAAGAATAGATTTATTAGGTGATAAGAGTTGTTATGTTGCATGTAAATACAAGAGAGGTTATGGCATTTGTGATTGTGCATCCATGAATACTTGTTATGTTATGATAGAAACAAAGTGCGCAGTACGAGTAGACTCAAGTGCTATGTTATTCACAGTGCTGCGAGTAAAAATATCGAATTTTTCACAAAGCTGTTTCACATAAACTGTGGAATATTGAAATCAATCCACTGCAGATAAAAAAAAATTGCACGATAGAAGCTGCGAGGAAACTTTGGAAGCTACGAGGAAACTAGGAAGGTTGGAAGCTACTGAAGAAGCTACAGTGTTAGTGAAACGCATTTAAAAATATAGAATATTTGTGAAAATTGTTAAATCATTATCATGGATATTATTCATATAGTATACTTCAATTTGGCGGGTTGGCTGTCTTTGTCCATCTTTCACTGCCTGAACCACTGTGTCTGCTGTGCCTGTGAGGGCATTGACTTGGGATGTGGGGGTTGAACAAACCGGCCATCGAATGTCTCCTTCCACGTAGCTCCACTGGATACGGGAATGACAGAATCACTTGTAGTTCTGTTATTTCCTAACTGAATGGCATTCTAACGATGGCTCAATCCTGAGGTGTGTGTATGTATCCGTGCCGAGAGGATGAATGACACTGAGCCTATCAGCTGTCTCTACGGAACCTTCGAGATACTGGGCGCCATCTCGTCGTAGCATCGCCCTGTCACGGTAATGCGGGGCTCTGCCGTGATTGACCTTCTTTCCCTAGCTACTCGTGGGACTTTTATGGACAGAGTAAACTTGAATTTCTTTTTCTGATGCTGAGTCTACAGAAGAGATGTATGTCGAGCTTACGACTCCAACTGACCCCCCTGTAAAGTTAGATCAGGAGCGTGTCTACAGAGGAGATGGATGTCGAGTTTACGGCGCCAACTAATCTCCCACTCACTTTGGATCTAACCTAACCTAACCTAACCTATACTTCAATTTCCTTCTTTTATCTGTATTCTTATTGTTCTGACTCTTCATACGACATTGCCAGCTTGTTTTTGAGGTCGATTTGATAGTAAATTTCAAAACTGAGAGGCATTACATCAACAAAGAATTTATATTTGGAATTTCGTTAAAAAGATATTTGATTGAGTGATACTTATTGAATTGTAACGACGTTTGATCATTGATGTATTTTTTTCTGCTTTACAAAAATCATTTAAAAATTTCAACGTGGTTTGAAAGAAGGGGAGGGATTCATTTTTTTTTAAATTGGTGACATCACAGTCATTTTTGAAACTCACATCCTTCTTGGAAATGAAAAAAATTGGGTCTTACGTCCTCATGAATGAATCATTTCCCTAAAAAACTTTTTCGGATAGTGCAATGGTCTATATTCAGTAATTTCCTTTCGAATTGGTAATATCCCGTGAAAAAATCTCAATAAATCACTTACACCGACGTGCACCCCGTCGACGAAGACCTGTGGCACGAGGATCTGGTCGCAGCGCATGCGCTCCTGGATTTCCGCCTGGTATTCCGAGCTCATAAACACGTCGCGTTCCTCGAATTTGACCAGCAGGAGTCGCAGGATCTGCTTCACTTTCATGCACGCCTGATACGTTTCCCGCAGGATGCCCATCGTTGTCGTGTAGACCACCACTTTGCCGGCTTCTTTTTCTTTGTAGTTCTGTAAGAGAAAAATAGTGTTAGTTTGTGCCGAATTGTTTTTTTCGTTTGTGTGTTTACAAGAATGAAAGAGGCAGAAAGCAGATACATCAAGAATTGAAAACAATATTCTACCAATATTTTCAGAATTGTAAGCATCAATTGTTTATGTAAATATTATTTGATGCTTGACATATGCTGATTTTATTAATATGTATATACTGGCTTTTGTAAATACTGATGAATGTATAAAACACAATGAATTATCTATCTATCTAAAAGTCAATAAATGAAAGTGAAATACGACGATACTGTGTAATTTTGCCAAATAGTACGGATTTGCACAAAAATTTCGATTCAGCTTCTACTAATTCCACTAACCCTCTAATTCAATGTTGAACTGTACTGGGGGTTGCTTCTACTCTGGGGGTGGATGCTACTCCTTATCAGGGGTGAAAAATGTGTCAATTGAAGGTAATCCGGGAATCGATAGATTAATTATTCCAAGTAACTTTTGTTATATAATTTTTTTTGTGAAGATCGATACTAGTCGACTTTTTTTCAACCATTTCCACTTTTTGCGTATGACTCGAGAAGAAGATTATTTGTTTTTGGTGATGTAGTTTATGAAAAAAAGTGGTTTTATGACATTTTTAAGTGCTTGAAACAAATACCTTCATTTTCATTTTTTGTGATAGTCCCCAGCATGGAAACTAAGCGAGTTATGACAAAACTTATTTTGGTCCCTATTTTGTCGACGACAAAAAAATATGAAAATCACCTCTCAAATATCATCCCCATTAACAGTAATTATAAGCAATCCTTTTAATTTAAATATTTGTTTTTTTCTCTAGCTATTTGATCGGTTAGAAATGCTTAGTTTCGAAAAAAAATTTATTTGAAATGAAAAGGGTAGTCGTAATTCACCAAAAAATTTCCTTTTCGCCAAAATTACTCAAAAACTATCATTTGCAGCTTTGTAGCAATATTTTGCATTTTAATATCATTTTTGGAGTTATTTTGGAAGAAAGGCAATTTTTGCAAAATTCAGATAATCTTTCACTTCAATCTGGAATTTTTCCAGAACTGAGGACAACAGTCCAATGAATATTCAAGAACAGATTACAAGTACCTACAATAGTGAAGTGAATTGTGGAATGATAATAATTATTTTCAACTGAACAACAATTTTTTGTCACTGAAAAATACAGGGACAAAAAATAATTTTTGTCATAACTTACGTGGTTTTGCTGCTAGGAACATTAATCAAAAATAGAATATTGTATTTTTCAAGCACTCCATGCAGACACTTTCAATTTTGCCATTCAATAATGACTCTTCAAATTTGCTATCAACCATTCTTTTGGTATTTTATTTGGCGAGATGTTTTTATCGCGATAGTTAATTGTCCTGAGCCTGACAAATTGAAGATATTTATACATCTCATGAGATCATAGTATTCATGCCATACTCTGTTATATTTCTTTGAATTGAAAATATCTGTACATTTAAATTCTAGAAGTAACGAAATGTGACACGAGATCACAGTACTCATACCACATCTGTACATCTCATGAAACTCTGAAATTATCAAAATATGGCTTGAGATCATAGTAATCTTGCTACATTTTGCTTCATTTCTTTAAATTGAAGAGATATATACATCTTGCGAAACTCTGGAAGTATCAAAATGGGGCATGAGATCATTGTACTCATGCCACACTCTGCTATATTTCTTCGAACTGAAAAGATCTGTACATTTCACGGAACTCTAAAAGTAACAAGTTGTGGTACGACATCACAGTACTTATACCACACTTCGATTCATTACTTCAAATTGAAAGGATCTGTACATCTCATGAAACTCTGAAAGTATCAAAATATGAGATCATAGTAATCTTGCCACATTTTGCTTCATTGAAGAGACTTATACATCTCACGAAACTCTGGACGTATCGAAATGTGGCTTGAGATCATAGTACTCATGCCACACTTCGCTGTGTGGCGAAGTGTGGCATGAAAATATTTGTACATTTCACGAAACTCTAGAAGTAACGAAGTGTTGCATGAGATGGCAGTACTCAAACCACATTCAGCTTCATTACTTTAAACTGAAAGGATCTGTACATCTCATGAAACTCTGAAAGTATCAAAATGTGGCATGAGATCATAGTAATCTTGCCACATTTTGCTTCATTGAAGAGATTTATACATCTCACGAAACTCTGGAAGTATCGAAATGTGGCTTGAGATCATAGTACTCATGCCACACTTCGCTGTAATCCTTCGAATTGAAAATATTTGTACATTTCATGAAACTCCAGAAGTAACGAAGTGTTGCATGAGATGGCAGTACTCAAACCACATTCCGCTTCATTACTTCAAACTGAAATAATCTGTACATCTCATGAAACTCTGAAAGTATCAAAATGTGAGATCATAGTATCCATGCCACATTTTGCCTTATTTCTCCAAATTGAAGAGATTTATGAATCTCACGAAACTCTTAAAGTATCAAAATATGGCACGAGATCATAGTATCCATGCCACATTTTGCTTCATTTCTTCAAATTGAATAGGTTTATACATCTCACGAAACTCTAAGGGAATCATTGTGTAGAATGAGATCACTGTTTACATGCTACTTCCAGAGTTTCGTTTCATGTGGATATCTTTTCAATTTGAAGAAATGAAGACTTTATTTCCTCAATGACAAGAGACCTATTTCAAATTTTATAAACTAGCGAGATATTCCTCAAATCATTTTCCATTTCTCTGTATTCAAGAAATTATGGATGCATGACTGGAACTGAAAGTTTGTCCTGCATATGCATAGGTCAACTCAAAATGAAGAAATGGATTCAGATAACCTCCTGATAATGAAACTTGGTAGCTGAAACGCGCATCAAAAATGTCTCACAGATTTTGAAAGAAGTGATTTCTGAAATAGTTTAGTCAGGTTCATCATGTCATTCAAAACGCAGCCAAAATTATCTAGGAAAAAATTGGTTATTTTACAGATAAAAACCCATTTCATGAATTTTAGTCGAAAAACAAAATGGGTCCAAGTGAATGGTAATGATAGATTAACATAATGTAGTATTGTCACATAGTAGAATTATCAAATTGATCTCTTAAAGATTCTTTAGTATATAGACAATGTTGATAAATAATTCATAAACTTCAGGAATTCAGAGATGCTTTCCGCAATGGGAAACTTTCAGTATTGAAACAGACCTTTCTTTAGAGTTGTTGAAAAAGCATGCCAACGCCATTCCTTAACTTCATTTCCTTTTAAGTTTTCATTCAAAAGAAATATCTTGTGTACTTCTACTAAACAAAAGCTTCATTTTCCTATATTTAGAATTTATAACCCACATATCAAACACCACGGGTTGGTTAGTTATTCATCTGCAGGAGATTGAAATTGAAAATATACCAGCAAAACTCTTTGTTTAATTGAAGTCTTTTCATTTTATCCACAGATGTGTATGCCTGGTTCCTATTCATGAAGTTAATTGAAAATATTGATTCGGGTTTTGATTGACATTGTATTGTGAGAGAAATGGGCGATCCAGGGTCGCTGTACTTGAACGGCGGATTTTTTTTTGTAAGGATACAAATGAATATTCAACATTTTTCTCACCTGAATTACTTATTAGATCAGATAAGATTGTCGGGGAGCTCTCCCATGGCCTGATTGACTGCGATCTTTTCAGATCTATTGTGATGCTCCTTGGTTGTTAGAGCTTATTGATTTTCTTGATATCTTTGATGAGACTCCATAGCCTTGACATCGACCCATTCATATAGCTGGCAGCCTTTGGTTTCTTTTTCCCGCATCTTGCGTGTCTCAGCCTTGCTATCGCTCCGCATTTACAAAGCACGTGTAGTGCGGTTTCTTCCTCTTCTTGACAGAACCTGTATTGGGTTTCTTCTGTTAGATCCATGTTGCTGATATGTTTCCTGAGTCGGCTATGCCCGACGACCCTTACAACCTTAGCAAGTCTTTCGTGAATCTGGACGATGGTTTCTTTATGAACTCTTTTGCCTGCCTCATTCATGGGAGCTCATTCCATCAATCTATCAATTCAACCTGCATCCATGCATTTATGAATATCTTTATATGTGCTTCTGCTACCCTGATGCTGACTAATATTTAACACATATCAGCAGATTTCAACTATGTAGAATAGCTATGTAATAGTCGAAGTAACCGATGTAGTTATCTTAAAGGTATTGGCGAAGTCAAGGGCCAAAAAACCAATACAAAGGAATTATGCCGCAACGAATCAGTCCACGTGGACTGAAGAATTGGCGGTTTTTATTGGATAATTTTTACAAACCGAGTTTTATAATTGGCTGAAGAGTCATAAAATTGAATTTGAAGTCATGTTACGGTGACCAACAGAATATAGCGATGAGTACCACCGTCGTGTCGTCAATGTTCAGTTCAGGAACTGATCGCGATTTGAGTGTTGAAATTCGATATTGGTGAAGTTATAAATAATCACTTAAAATTTTTGTTATTTGTTCAAAATGTGGCGTTCTTGGACAAGTACTAATAGTAATAACGAGTGTGATAACAACGCAGACTTTTTCCAGTGTAGTAATTCCAATAGCGCTGGTGAACAATGCGAAAAAGAGATACCAGTGAATGAGATTCAGATGCATTTGAATGCATCTGAATCTCATTCACTGATATTGAAACACAGAGAGTATGTTTCAATGTATATAAGAATCTTCATCTTAAGTTTGATTTCGAGTGAAAAAACTATTACAAGCAACATCAGATTTGACCGAAACTTCTTTCTCAACTGTACGTAAAATAGTCAAAAATAAACATTATGAACGCGATTTGATGCGGGATTACCAAAACCTTTAGATGTTCATCTAATAAAATCATTTGAAAAAACAATATACGACTTTTACAAAAGCAATGAGATACCTACAATTGAAATCATGTGGAAGAAATTGAATACTTCCGGTGATAACGTGAGCTGCTGTGACAAAACTCTTTAG